GAGATGGAGCTGGAGGGGACAGCGCAGCTCCGACGCAGACTCCACACGCGAGTACTCCAAGATCTGCGAAAGTGAAGAATGACGAAAAACAGACTGCAGCTGGGGTATACCCCCAGCGGACTGACTGGACTGGACTGGACTGGCCTGGTACCGACCGTGGTACCGGGCGGGACTGGACTGGACTGAAACAATATACGGCCTGTGGGGTCAGGCCACGGCCTGGTCCCACAGGCCGAACTGGCAAATAGCCAAATAGGCCCTGGCTGTAGGCCGGGGCAGATGAAGGCCCGCTGCACATAGCCTCAAACAGCGGTTTTGGAAAATACCGGGCCTCGACATTCTGAACGCACTAGTACCAACAGAGTCACAAATCGCTCCAATTAATAACATCAAGCTCGAGCGAACCACTGCGGTTGCAGACCAGACAAAAATTGACCGTACCACGCCGCGGTAAGCTGCTCTGTTCCCAAGCAGTGACCATACCACAAATAAAATTACCGGCCTGCCGTGAATTCCACCTGTGCCGGATCAGTGACCGTGCCGGTTCCATTTTCCGAACCAGTAGCCATGCCAAAATAATAGTGGTAAGCCTCCTCAAGTATTGCTAGTGAACGGCTGCAGTACCGAACCGGACCAAACGTTGTACCAACTCGCACAGCCCACATGCCCGCACCAAAAATCAGTGAGCCGCGGCAGCCCCAAACTGAACCGCAATACATATCAGGGAATAACCACGTCGAACAGTCCCTATACCGTGCCTATGGTAAAATAGTTTCTTCTTAAAATAAATGATAACACCGGATCGCCTTGAGGGCCACCAATGCCGGCCCAATGAAGGAAAGGAGATACATAGAGTCGAGCCGCAGTGCGCCGTTCTAGTACCGTTCCAGTTACCAAACCCGAAAAATAGGTACAGGCCGCAGTATATCGATGCTGAACTAATAACTGTACCAATCCAAACCAGTGATCTTGTGCCACCGTCTCAGTGACCCTACCAATCATCTCAACATTGAGCTGTAGCGGTCTGTACCAACGTTGTCCCAGTGATCGTACCGTACCTGCTTCCAAACTAGCAACCGCACCAATCTGACCCGACTGCCGTAACCAGTGAACCCGTCCAGTTGATCTGACCGCCTCAAGATAGTGTTGAAACAAAATACGGCTCAATGGCCAAACGTCGACACTCAGCGTGGCATGGGAATTCGGTAGATTAAGGATATCACACACACTATAATTTTCGGGTCGTGACAAGGGTAATAATTAGTCCAAAACCAGTTAAAATCAACAAGGAAATTCGAATTAGATAAATCGGTTCAAATCAGCGGGGTTAGTAAACAGATAAGATTTGTTTAAATCCGCGAGGAATGATAAATAGGTAGGATCTGGTTAGAAATCAATGAAGGCATAATCGCATGGAAAATGTTAAATAATAAAATAATCATTCGTTTTCATTCCCTTTTTATCATTTTAAATTTTAGTACTTACCGTTAATTCCACCATTAAATTAAATAAAATTTCAGACCTCTACCCTCGTCAACTGGGCAGCGCGGAACAGGCCGCACGAAGGCTCGCAAGCATACCTTCGCCCCGCGGCTGGCTGCTTCGAGTATAGCCTTGGAACAGACAAAAAATGTAAGCCCCGAGTACGGTAGAGGCCCCTGTCCAACTTATTAATTTGAAGGGTTAGTTCCTGCAGTCGACGCAGGGAATTTCGGAGTTCATATGAGGACCCCTAATTTTCCCCGACCGTGCCGACAAGAGTACCCGAAGCATCTTGACTGTTCGTTCGGTTGAGGGACGAAATCCCCCTTTTTCGGGTGGCCGACTGGTCTGCGGCCGCCGGGCACCGGTTCCCAGCACGTGCTGCTCCCCACGATTGGAGCTTCGTTNACAGACTGCAGCTGGGGTATACCCCCAGCGGACTGACTGGACTGGACTGGACTGGCCTGGTACCGACCGTGGTACCGGGCGGGACTGGACTGGACTGAAACAATATACGGCCTGTGGGGTCAGGCCACGGCCTGGTCCCACAGGCCGAACTGGCAAATAGCCAAATAGGCCCTGGCTGTAGGCCGGGGCAGATGAAGGCCCGCTGCACATAGCCTCAAACAGCGGTTTTGGAAAATACCGGGCCTCGACATTCTGAACGCACTAGTACCAACAGAGTCACAAATCGCTCCAATTAATAACATCAAGCTCGAGCGAACCACTGCGGTTGCAGACCAGACAAAAATTGACCGTACCACGCCGCGGTAAGCTGCTCTGTTCCCAAGCAGTGACCATACCACAAATAAAATTACCGGCCTGCCGTGAATTCCACCTGTGCCGGATCAGTGACCGTGCCGGTTCCATTTTCCGAACCAGTAGCCATGCCAAAATAATAGTGGTAAGCCTCCTCAAGTATTGCTAGTGAACGGCTGCAGTACCGAACCGGACCAAACGTTGTACCAACTCGCACAGCCCACATGCCCGCACCAAAAATCAGTGAGCCGCGGCAGCCCCAAACTGAACCGCAATACATATCAGGGAATAACCACGTCGAACAGTCCCTATACCGTGCCTATGGTAAAATAGTTTCTTCTTAAAATAAATGATAACACCGGATCGCCTTGAGGGCCACCAATGCCGGCCCAATGAAGGAAAGGAGATACATAGAGTCGAGCCGCAGTGCGCCGTTCTAGTACCGTTCCAGTTACCAAACCCGAAAAATAGGTACAGGCCGCAGTATATCGATGCTGAACTAATAACTGTACCAATCCAAACCAGTGATCTTGTGCCACCGTCTCAGTGACCCTACCAATCATCTCAACATTGAGCTGTAGCGGTCTGTACCAACGTTGTCCCAGTGATCGTACCGTACCTGCTTCCAAACTAGCAACCGCACCAATCTGACCCGACTGCCGTAACCAGTGAACCCGTCCAGTTGATCTGACCGCCTCAAGATAGTGTTGAAACAAAATACGGCTCAATGGCCAAACGTCGACACTCAGCGTGGCATGGGAATTCGGTAGATTAAGGATATCACACACACTATAATTTTCGGGTCGTGACAAGGGTAATAATTAGTCCAAAACCAGTTAAAATCAACAAGGAAATTCGAATTAGATAAATCGGTTCAAATCAGCGGGGTTAGTAAACAGATAAGATTTGTTTAAATCCGCGAGGAATGATAAATAGGTAGGATCTGGTTAGAAATCAATGAAGGCATAATCGCATGGAAAATGTTAAATAATAAAATAATCATTCGTTTTCATTCCCTTTTTATCATTTTAAATTTTAGTACTTACCGTTAATTCCACCATTAAATTAAATAAAATTTCAGACCTCTACCCTCGTCAACTGGGCAGCGCGGAACAGGCCGCACGAAGGCTCGCAAGCATACCTTCGCCCCGCGGCTGGCTGCTTCGAGTATAGCCTTGGAACAGACAAAAAATGTAAGCCCCGAGTACGGTAGAGGCCCCTGTCCAACTTATTAATTTGAAGGGTTAGTTCCTGCAGTCGACGCAGGGAATTTCGGAGTTCATATGAGGACCCCTAATTTTCCCCGACCGTGCCGACAAGAGTACCCGAAGCATCTTGACTGTTCGTTCGGTTGAGGGACGAAATCCCCCTTTTTCGGGTGGCCGACTGGTCTGCGGCCGCCGGGCACCGGTTCCCAGCACGTGCTGCTCCCCACGATTGGAGCTTCGTTCCCCCCCCCCCCCCAAAGAAAAAAAAAAAACCCACCTCCCCTCCCACCCCTTACTCATGTGTCCGGAGCCACACGGGTCATCTTGTCTCGACTCTTGCTTTTTGGCCCCTAACTTTGTCATTATGTTCATCTGACTCCCCCAGGGGCCAAGCTCTTATTATGTTTTCTAACAAGGTCTAGATTTTGGTCCTAACATTCAGATCTCGCCAACACTGACATCTGGCAACACAAGACCATGCAAACTTTCACTTTGTGGCAAACTGTTGGAGCCACTTTGGATCCACTTTGGGCCTGTGTAAGGAGTTAGTTTCCATGTGCAGCCTTGCTGGAGAAAGGTGGCTGGGAAAGACATGATACTGGTTTGGAGCGCACAGTTTACAGACTTTACATGTTCATATTGCATCTTATTTTATATGATCGGGTCCCTCAACAGCCTCCCTGTCGTCCACTCCCTTTTCTGCGGGTGCAGCGGGCAGCTGTATTCGGTGCTCAGGTGGACATGATACTGGTTTGGAGCGCACAGTTTACAGATCTTATTTTATATGATCTATATAACTACTTCCTTGGACCGGGTGGAAAAGGAACTGGACTAATGCTTCCCCCAGTAGGGAGAGGAGCTGTGACAGTGAGGCCACATTCTTCCTTTCCATCAAAAACACTACTTCCCTGCTGTCCGGCAGAGGCACTCTCCTATTTATTGCATATGAGTCGCAGCCTGTTTTTACTCCCCTCATAATGGTGGATGTGGGTTGCGAGCATGGTTAATGCATGGAAAATTGGAAGTTGACATTGATCATGTCATTGGATATGTATACGGCGTGGTTGATACAACAGGTCTTGCCATCACAGGATTGCCTTAACAAAAATCGGAATTTAGATTGAACTGGTTATTCAGACTTGTCTTGCCTACTTCTGGAGAGGGGCAGGTACGTAGTGCAGAGACAAAGGGAAAAGTACAAAGTACTACAAACCATTGGGAGTTGGAGAATGCGAACATGCATGATGGGAGGTGTAATTGCACATGCTTATGTAGAAAATGGTCCAACTGCCAGTGGTGTCAAATGAATGTCAGCGAGTCCTGCTTCATCAGACAGAAGGAAGAGGTTGAAGTAAGCTTTCCGTCACCTGTTTAGCATTCATTCTGCAGTCATGTCAAGAGTATACCTGAGACGTATAAGGAAGGATGATCAAGTCTTTGATGCCATAACTATGTTTATTACTGGAGTGAAGCATGTTGTGACTGTGCTTGTTGCAGTGACAAATCCCCCTCATGTGACTGTGTTGTGTCTAACACACTTCCCATTTACAGTGGAAATGATGCAGGTATGTTGTCCAAGCGTATGGATATCTACACAACTCTGCTCCAGGGAATGACTCCAGAGTACAAGTTTGCAACAGTTGCCAAACTTTGCACTGAAATCCTTGGGGCAGTTGTCGAGGGCCATATTGATCTTCAGGAGTGTTACGGGGTTGTTTCAGATGCTCTCCGGGTTCTTGGCAGCAAGGATGTGAAGGTGTGTGGGTGCTTCAAGCCTTTGCAGTTCCCAATGCTAATTGTTCGTCAGTGCTCCTTATTTGTAGAACCTGTTGAAACGTGAAACATTAAAACATAAATGCATGCACATGACAAAATGGCCCCTGAAGAAAATACTTATCTGGCTGGGGCGTATCCATGATCAAGATGGCATACGGCCTAGAGGTTGCAGGGTCTCCCATTGCACTCTGGGACTCGCCTGGCCTAAGCGACACCCGCGGAGGTGTCATTATAGTATTATTTCAGTACAGAGGGTACGCGTTCGAAAATGGGAAAATAAAAAGGAAAGAAAAGAATCTGCTCCGCCCAAGAGGGCTAGCTCCGCCGTTGAGCACGTAAGTGCCACTCAGGAGATCGTGGATTCGATACCTGACATCGTCCTTTCGATCCCCGCGACCTCCTGGGGGTATGCTTCGGGTTCACTACTGAAGACTGTTGGCTTGGGCCTCCTGGCTGGTTGTGGAAGTGATTGGTTCTTTCCAGCCCATGCCGGGTGTTAGGAGCTTGGGTACCGCTCCCCGCAGAGAGCAGAGATAGGTAGGCGTAGACCCATAACCTTAGGATAGCTTAGTTCTGGCTAGTGAATTTAAGCTCCAACCCTGCTTCCGTAGGTAGGTGGTGTGTAGTCTTTGACCTTGGGTACGCGTTCGAAAATGGGAAAATAAAAAGAAAAGAAAAGAATCTGCTCCGCCCAAGAGGGCTAGCTCCGCCGTTGAGCACGTAAGTGCCACTCAGGAGGTCGTGGATTCGATACCCGACATCGTCCTTTCGATCCCCGCGACCTCCTGGGGGTATGCTTCGGGTTCACTACTGAAGAGTGTTGGATTGGGCCTCCTGGCTGGTTGTGGAAGTGATTGGTTTTTCCAGCCCATGCCGGGTGTTAGGAGCTTGGGTACTGCTCCCCGCAGAGAGCAGAGATAGGTAGGTGTAGGCCCATAGCTTAGTTCTGGCTAGTGAATTTAAGCTCCGACCCTGCTTCCGTAGGTAGGTGGTGTGTAGTCTTTGACCCTAAACCCTGTAGTTGGCCCTGAAGCGTGCAGCTGGGTTCCTTGCCGGTTGGGTTGCTGTGCCCCTTGCAGGTCCGGAAGGTGGGTAGACCAGGTCGAGTACACAGCCCGAGGTAGGTAGTGTGAGATGGAATAATATTGAGAGAAGAAAATAGCACAGTAAAGGAAGGCAGCTGTGCCCCCATATGAAGAGAAGGCAGCCTGCATAAAAAAAGGAAGAAGAAAAAGAAAAGAAAAGAAAAGAAAAGAAAAGAAAAGAAAAGAAAAGAAAAGAAAAGAAAAGAAAAGAATCTGCTCCTATTCGTTTTCCCAAGCCTCGAGCACAGAGCCATATTATGTGCACTTTTTATGCCAGAACTTGTCTTGCTACCCAGAACTGTTTGTTTGTTGCTTCCATGTTTCTATTATCCCCCCGGATAGATCAGCACTTTTCATCAGAATTTTTGTCAAACGTTATGAGCGTGAAGAATTGCCAAGTCAGTGGAGTTAAAAGTTCATGCACTGCTTGGCATGCAGCCAGCACGTATACTGCCGCAGCTTATGGATTTCATCGAGAGCTGCGGTGGTTTAAAATCTGGTGTGAAAGTCTATCCATCCAGCCATCTCTCTCTCTCCCTCTCTCTCTGTGAATGTGTATATGTGGCTAAATGTGAATCTGATGGGCATTCCTCCAGAACTGGCGATGCGCTGTTTTGTAGACGTACAAATTCTGTGTTGTCTCACGGACCTCAGCTGTTATGGTTGCCTCATGTCTGAAGGTCTCCACTGCCAAAGGAGGAGCAGCAGGAGGAGCAGAGGATTGTTTTGGTGAGGATGAGGGTGGGTCCAGTGCAGCAGGAGCCGCTGCTGCTGCAAAGGGCAAGTTTGTCACCCAGATGATGAAGAAGAACCTGATGGAGAATGCCATCCCGATGATGATAGAGCTGAAGCGATTGCTGGAGAGTAATAGGAGTGCACTCCTGGGGCCTCTTATGGAATGCATTCGGAATATTCTTAAGGACTACAAGAATGAGGTTGAAGATATTCTTGCTGTGGACAAGCAGCTTGCAAGAGAGATAATGTTCGACATTCGGCAACAAGATGCAGAAGAGGCCCGAGAAGCTATACACACTGGTGTGGCTGTGCCAAGGACCCAGGCACCTGGAGGAGTGGGACCACTATTTTCTCCATGCGCAAGGCCCATGATGTCTCCTGGTGCAGGAAGGACAAGTGCTGCTGACCGACCAGTCTTCCTCACTCCTAGGCAACCAAACCACCCGAGCAAGGCACCTGTCAGTGGTCGTGCTCGGCCCGACTTTGTCAGTGATAGACCTGCTCATCAAAAGCCTTCAACGCCTCTGGTAGCTTCCCCATTCATACAAAGGGCTGGCAAAGGCCTTGTCCCAGCAAGTAACGAAAAGGGTAATGCTGGTCCATCTTTGCGTAGGCGGCATGTGACGTCAAATGCTCCACTGGCAATCTTCTCGCCACAGTCAAAAGATGCTAATGGAAATGGAGGAAGAGCCACAAGGCGGTCATTACGAGGTGTTATGTCACCACTCTCACCCAAACGAGGAGTAGGATTCCAATCCCCTAGACTGAGGGATGCAAGGCAGGTTGGTGAAGCAGAAAGGGACACCCCTGCTGTTAGAGAGATGGCATCAAATGGAAGGAGACAGTACCAGAGCAGAATTTTGCCCACCACGAGTGAAGCTCAGAGGAATGCAGTGGCAGAAGAACAAGCGGTTGCAACTGTGGCAGCTGTCCTGTCAGCTGCACAAGGTAAGACTACCTGCTTTTATTTGTAGATTAGTAACAAGGCTGTGTGGCTCAGATCGTTGCACGAGGATGTCTGGCACAGACAAACCTGCACCTCCCTCTCTCCAAAATCTGGGCAAGTCAGAAAAGGCACACAGTGACATAACTTTTCCCCCCTGGCTAGCGCAGTGATTTTGCTCATGTGAAATGCAGACCAGTCAGAAAACAACCATCCACCTAGGCTACCAGAGTGGCCTGGGACCACTTGCCCAGCTGGGCCAACAACAACAACAAAAAAAAAACATACAAAATATTTTTTAATTCTAGTTTTTTCTAGGTTTTTTTTCCGGGCGCCCGGGCACCCAACTTGTGCCCGGATACATGCCCGGGTGCCCGGCCGGGCATGACCCCCGGGCAGGGTTCCGGGCAGCGCCAGCTGCCAGATGTCAACAGCGCTCAACAGGTAAGTATCACCATAGCTCACACTTCCCCGTCTCTCGTCTGCCTTCTTCTCTCTTTCCCTCTATGTTTATAGTCCTGGTCTACCCTCACTCATCATAATGCACACTCCCTATCACACGAGGATCTACTCTGAATACGACTCACTGGTATCTCCTACTGACTATCCCTACTCACACACTAACTAGTGCTGGTGCAGCTATGGCTGCCTTCCCTCTAGCCAGCACTCTCTTCCTCCTTCCCGCATAGCGCTGCTCTTCAGCTTAGCGCAGCTCACACGCATCTAGCGCACAAGTGCCACGGCACTTCCACACTCTCATGCGAAGTGAGCATCTGTCGGAATGGGAGGCTGGCCAGCCCTTTATAGTGCTGGACTGGTCTGGCGTGGCCTGCATTCAGCCTCACGTGTGCCTGGGACTCCTGCCCAGTACCAATTGTTGCAAAGTGTGTGTCCCAGTACCCTTTCCCATGGTCTGCTGCTGCTTTGGGCCATCAGGCCTGTCCTTTGGACTCCTGGTCTGAATCAAGACTGACTCGTGGGATTATGACTGAACTGGGCCCGTAGTCTTTGACTTCTTGACAAACAGACATGACTTTTCATCGAGGAGACATGACCCTAACTCAGTCTGGAAAATTGTGTCCAATACCTGTTCGTCCAGGACCTGTTTGTGACCTTTCAAACCTTTCACTTCATTATGGTGCAACATTCACCTCAGGAACTTTTCAATTGCTGCTCGTGAATTGAAGTTCTGGCCGACAGGACCCGTTTCTTTTGGGGCATCCATTCGGGGTCCGATTGGTAAAGACCCTTTTAATGGGGGTGTTGGGGGGGGGCTATGGGGTTATTTCGGGTTCTGGACCAAAAAAAAAAAAAAAACTGTTTTTTAACTTCTTCTTCTTTTTTTTTTTTCCGATCGCCGACCGGTCGGCGCCGACGGCGCCTACCGAACGTCGGCGTGACTACCCTGGCTTTAGTCCTATTGCAGACAACGAAAACACTTGAGTTGAGACAAATGCAAGGAAGATGAGCAATAGCGAACTTCAGCAATCAAACAGCATCATACATATGAGTCCAGATAGTCGTGACCTCGAACCAACAGCAGAATTGCATCACGAGTTTCACCAAATAAGAACACACCAAGAGTTCATCATTGACAATGCTGAAATAGTCCCGTCATCATCATCAACGAAGAACCAGAGTTGATATCCTATCTGGCGCTCGGCGTCCAGACTA